AAAATTTTTAATTTAAAAAAATTTATTTTTATTTTTATTTTTATTTTTATTTTCATTTTGAGACAGAGTCTCACTCTGTTGCCCAGGCTGGAGTGCAATGGTGCAACCTTGGTTCACTGCAACCTTCACCTCCTGGGTTCAAGTGATGCTTATGCCTCAGCCTCCTGAGTAGCTGGGATTACAGGCATGCACCTGCAGGCCCGGCTAATTTTTGTATTTTTAGTAGAGAGGGGGTTTCACCATGTTGGCCAGGCTGGTCTCAAACTCCTGACTTCGTGATCCGCCTGCCTCAGCCTCCCAAAGGGCTGGGATTACAGGCATGAGCCATTGCACCTGGCTTTGTTTTTTTTTTAGACAGGGTCTCATTCTGTTGCCCAGGGTGAAGTGCAGTGGCACAATCTTGACTTGCAATCTTGGCTTGCAATCTCAGCCTCCTGGACTCAAGCAATCCTCTGCCTCAGCCCCCCGAGTAGCTGGGATTATAGGCATGTACCACCACACTCGGCTAATTTTTTTTTTTTTTCATATTTTTTGTAGAGATGGGGTTTTGCCATGTTGGCCAGTCTGGTCTCAAATTCCTGACCTCAGGCGATCCACCCGCCTTGGCCTCCCAAAATGTGAGGATTACAGGCGTGAGCCACCGCGCCCAGCCTCCAAATTCTTTTATTCCAGCTTGACTGGAAATTAGAACTGAAATAGCCAAGAAAACAGAAAATTAGAAGCCGCCTGTGTTTAAAGTCAGCCTGGATGGGAATGATAACCAAAACAAAAGCATCAATGTCTGGTCATCAGCTGTTAATGAAGACTTTTGTGTTGGTTCCTGTGCTTAGTGAGGGCATCTCTACTTTAGAAATTCGAGGAAGGGTGCACCTGTAGACCCAGCTGCTTGGGAAGCTGAGGCAGGAGGATCACATGAGCCCAGGCGTTTGAGACCAGCCTGGCCAACATGGCAAAACCCTGTCTCTACCAAAAATAAAAAATTAGCTGGGCATGGTGGCGGGTGCCGGTAATCCCAGCTACTCGGGAGGCTGAGGCAGGAGAATCGCTTGAACCTAGGAGGCAAAGGTTGCAGCGAGCCGAAATCCATCACGGCACTCCAGCCTGGGAGACAGAACGAGACTCTCTCTGAAAAAAAAAAAAGAACAGGGAAAGGCTAGCAAATGTTTACATATGTTTTATCATCATGCTGAGGTTAAATCTGTACTTATTCTACGTCTTGGTTTTCAGCTCAGTCTATTTGCTTGAAAGCACAAACAGCTTTGTTTTAATACTGAACATTTTATTTTGAGAGTTCAAGAACTTTGACTTACAAGTCTGAGTCCAGAATATGTTTGTTATAGGAAACCGTATTCATTGTAGAAAATTGCCCTTTTGAACCAAAGCTACACACTTTATCACTGGGTGGGGATGTGGATTGCTTAGAGCTACCAGCCTTGGTAATAACGAGCCCCAAATGGGCTCAGTCTTTATGAAAGGATGGTGTAGAGCTCTTAACATTAGGAAAACAACCAAAGGCATTTTTTTTTTTTGTAAAATAAGACAAATTTAAGAGATTAACATCAGAACCCAGGTAGAATCACTGTCTGCCTCTACACTGTCAATAGAGGTGCGCATTGCTTAGTAAAAGACAGATTTACGGCTGGGCACTGTGGCTTATGCCTATAATCCCAGCACTTTGGGAGGCCAAGGCAGGAGGATTGCTTGAGACCAGGCCTTGGCCTCCCAAAGTACTGGGATTACAGGCGTGAGCCAACCCTCCCGGCCGATGGACATATTTTCTGTCCTGTGGTCTAGGAAGCAGAGAAAGCCAGCCTGCAGTGAAAGAGAAGAAAGGAGTAGACCCAAAGACGATCAGAGACAGGGAATAGGAGATGCACACTAGGGGTGTCGAGTCCCAGTTTTAGTTAATCCGAGAAGCCCAGCTGCATTCCTGTCCTTGCAGGGCATGGCCATGCATCCTTTTCATAAATGCTTCTTTTCTGCCTGTTAGCCTGAGTGAGTTTCTCTTCCTTGCAATTCCAAGAATGTGGTCTCAATCACCACCTTATCACTTCCTCCATCTCCAAACTACAGTTCCCCTTCTCACCCCATTATTTCCCTCAACTTGAACTTCCTTCTTTCCTTCTAGTTCCCTGCAGAACATAAAAACCATATCGTGGCCCCACAACAAGTACATATTTTCTGATGTGAGAGTCAATAAAAAATGAGGAAGGACTCCTGTCTGTAAGAAGTCCCAGCACTTTGGGAGGTTGAGGCCGGTGGATCAAAAAAATTAGCTCGGAGTTGTGGTGCACGTCTATGATTCTCAGCTAGACTGACACAGGAGAATCGCTTGAGCCCAGGAGGCGGAGGTTTCAGCCACTGCACTCCAGCCTGGGCTACAGAGCGAGACTCTGTCTCAGAACAAAACAAGCAAACGAGAAAACAGAGGAAGGAAGGAGGACAAAAATGTTCTTACCCTGACAGGTGTTCTCATTGGAATGACTGAATCGTTCTTCCCCAGACTGGAGTCTGTATCCTGGGACACAGCGACAGTGGAAACTTCCTTCGACATTGTGACATGCGGCGTTTGATCCACAATATACACTATAGGGTGGTTCACATTCGTTAATATCTGGAACACAAAGAAGGAATTGTGTCATTCATTCAGCAAAGATTTATTGAGCATCTACTATGTGTCAGGCGTTGCGCTCTTTACCCCAGGGTCTGTCCTGGCTTTCCGAGACAAATCAGTTTAAGTCATGGTTATCTTGGTTTTTTGCCGTCTTCATTGACTTTGGTAGGGTTCTTCAAGAAGCAGACATTGAGAGGAGGATGTAAGTACAAGTACTTTATTTGGGAGGGGATCCCAGGAAACACTGGGAGGGGAGTCATGAAATGAAACAAGAAACTCTCTTTTCTTTCTGAGACACAGTCTCGCTCTGTCATCCAGGCTGGAGTGCAATGGCAGGATCTCGGCTCTCTGCAACCTCTGCCTCCTGAGTTCAAGCGATTCTCCTGTCTCAGCCTCCCGAATAACTGGGATGACAGGCGAGCACCACCATGCCCGGCCGATTTTTGTATTTTTAGCAGAGACAGGGTTTCACTATGTTGGCCAGGCTGGTCTCAAACTCCTGACCTCAGGTGAGCCATCTGCCTCGGCCTCCCAAAGTGCTGGGATTACAGGCGTGAGCCACCGTGCCTGGCTGAAACAAGAAACGATCTCAAATGAACAGCCAAGTTTCCAAAACAGCCCCCGTTTTGCCTCCCTTTTGCTCCTGTCTCTGGATGGCTGGCAAATGACCCCTGGACAGGTGCAGGGGTCACACCTGTAATCCCAGCACTTTGGGAGGCCGAGGCAGGAGGATTGCTTGAGCTCAGGAGTTTGAGACTAGCCTGGACAACATGGTAATAACCCATCTCTACAAAAAATAAAAAAAAAAAATTAGCTGGGCGTGGCGGCACGCCTGTAGTCGCAGCTACTTGAGCGGCTTGATTCCAGGAGTTGGAGGCTGCAGTGAGTGGTTTATTTATTTTGATCAGAGAGTCTCCATCTGTTGCCTAGGCTGGAGTGCAGTGGTGCAATCTCGGCTCACTGCAACCTCTGCCTCCCAGATTCAAGCTATTCTCATGCCTCAGCCTCTTGAGTAGCTGAAATTATAGGCGCCCACCACCATGCCCGGCTAAGTTTTGTATTTTTAGTAGAGATGGGGTTTTGCCATTTTGGCCAGGCTGGTCTCGAACTCCTGACCTCAAGTGATCTGCCCGCCTCGGCCTCCCCAAGTGCTGGGATTACAGGCTTGAACCACTGTGTCCAGCCTGTGGTGAGCTTTGATCATGCGACATTAGTCCAGCCTGGGCAACAGAGCAAGACTCTGTCTCTAAAAATAATAAAATAATAATAATAATAATAAAGTACTTTACCATTACATGTCTCCAAGGGGAATGTGAATAGTTTCTGTCCAGATCTAGAAATATATCCACTGTCGCAGGTGCAGTGACTGTTATTGACACAGGAAGCATTTGGGGGGCAGTTACAGGAAGCTGCAGGGAGAAGAGAGGCAGGTTAAATGGACTGGGGTCACAAACTCTCCTGTTATAATTAGGCCCTGCCTCTGGATCACCTGAGGTAAGGAGTTCAAGACAAGCCTGGTCAACATGCTAAAACCCCATCTCTACTAAAAATACAAAAAATAGCCAGGTGTGGTGGCTCATGCCTATAATCCTAGCTACTCAGGAGGCTGAGGCAGGAGAATTGCTCGAACTTGTGAGGTGGAGGTTGCAGTGAGCTGAGATTGCACCACTGCACTCCAGCCTGGGTGACAGAGGGAGACTCCGTTTCAAAACATATATATTTGTTACATAGGTATACGTGTGCCATGTTGGTTTGCTGCGCCCATCAACTCGATATTTACATTAGGTATTTCTCCTAATGCTATCCCTCCCCCAGTCCCCCACTCCCCTGACATATTATATACGTAAATAATAATAATAATGAGGCCTCGCCTCTGGGCAGGGCCTCTCAAGGCTGAGGACACCTGTGTCTTTTCCTCTTGTGAGATCTAAGCACATTAAAAAGTTAGAGTGTCCAGGCACGGTGGCTCACTCCGCCTGGTGAGAATTTTCACATGGTGAAACCCCGTCTCTACTGAAAAATACAAAATTGGCCAGGTGTGGTGGCAGGTGCCTGTCATCCCAGCACTTTGGGAGGCTGAGGCAGGTGGATCACGTGAAGTCAGGAGTTCAAGACAAGCCTGACCAACGTGGTGAAACTCCGTCTCTACTAAAAATAAAAAATTAGCCGAGTGTAGTGGCTCATGCCTGTAATCCCAACTACTCAGGAGGTTGAGGCAGGAGAACTGCTTGAACCCGGGAGGCGGAGGTTTCAGAGAGCCAGGGTCACACCATTGCAATCTCACCATGGTGAGAAGCATGGTGAGTGGCATGGTGAGCATGCCTGTTAACATCTGTAATTCCAATGCTTTAGGAGGCCAAGGTAGGAGGATTCCTTGAGGTTGGAGTTGGAGAGCAGCCTGGGTAACATAGCAAGACACTATTGCTATAAAAAGTAATTTAAAAATTAGCCAGGCATGGTGGTATGTGCCTGTAGTCCCAGCTACTCTGGAGGCTGAAGCGGGAAGATTGCTTGAGCCCAGGAGTTTGAGGCTGCAGTGAGTCGTGGTCATGTCATTGCACCGCAGCCTGGGTGACAGAGTGAGGCTCTGTCTCTAAAATAAACAAACAAAAAAAATTGAATTTCTAGGGTACCATGGGAGGTAGATTCTGATCATGGTATATGTTAAGGTATTTTTTCTTTAGACTTCATGATTATGAAAACGATAAATTCACAGAATTGAAAAAAAAAATCCAACAATAAGTCTCTTATTACCCCAGATTCTGAGCTGTCTACTGCCTATTGTATACTTTTCAGAAAAATTCCAATCCATAAACACACATATGTGCATCCTTTTTCTTTACATTATAGGAACATAATTCACATACTGCTCTGTTTGGTTTTCCTGTAAAATTTTGCCTGAGAATTTTTTCCACAGCTTCACGTGTGG